AATGGAAGGAAAAAGGCATTTCATGCAAACAGACACCAAAAGCAAGCAGGGATAGCTATTCTTCTATAAGACCAAACAAATTTTAAAGCAACAACAATTAAAAGAGATAAAGAGGGATATTATATAATTGTAAAAGGCATTGTCCAAGAGGAAAAATATCACAATCCTAAATACATATGCACCTAACATGAGGACTCCCAGATTTATAAAACAATTACTAATAGACCTAAGAAATGAGATAGACAGCAACACAGAAATAGTGGCCGACCTTAATGCTCCACTGACGGTACAAGTCAGATCATCAAGACAGAAAGTCAACAGAGAAACAGTGGATTTAAACTGCACCTTAAAACAAATGGACATAACAGATACTTACAGAACATTCCATCTAACAACCACAGAATACACATTCTATTCAACAGCACGTGGAACTTTCTCCAAGACAGACCAGAAAATAGACCATAAAACGAGCCTCAATACATTTAAGAAAAGTGAAATTATCTCAAGCATTCTCTCAGACCATAGTGGAATAAAACTGGGAATCAACTCTGAAAGGAACCTTGAAAACAATGCAAATACATGAAAATTAAATAACCTGCTCCTGAATGAGCAATGGGTCAAAAATGCAATCAAGATGAAAATTATAAAATTCTTTGAACTAAATGACAATAATGACACAACCTATGAAGCTGTCTGGGATACAGCTAAGGCAGTGCTAAGAGGAAAGGTCACAGGATAAAATGCCTACATCATAAAGATGAAACAGCACAAACTGACATCCTAAGGTCACACCTAAAGGAACTAGAGAAACAAGAACAAACCAAACCCAAATCCAACAGAAGAAAGGAAATTACCAAGATCAGAGTAAAACTAAAGGAAATGAAATAAAATGAACAGAGAGAAAACAATACAAAAGGTAAATGAAACAAAAACCTGGGTCTTTGAAAAGATAAATAAAATTGATAGATTTGAGCTAATAACCATTAGCAAGATTAACCAAGAAAAGAAGAGAGAAAATCCAAGTAATCTCACTGGAAACAAAACAGGAAATAATACGACTGACACCACTGAAATATAAAAGATTACTCACAGCTACTATGAGCACCTTTATGCACATAAACTAGAAAACCTAGAAGAGATGGATAAATTCCTGGAAAACTGTAACCCTTCTGGCTTAAATCAGGAAGATTAGACACCCTGAACAGATCAATAACAAGCACCGAGATTGAAATTGCAATTTTTAAATTACCAACATAAAAAAGTTTAGGACCACAGACATATTCACAGCAGAATTCTACCAGACATCTAAAGAAGAAACTTTTTGATACTATTCTACAAGATAAACAAGGAACCCTCCCAATTCGTTTTATGAAGCCAGCATCACCCTACAACCAAAATCAGAAAAGGGCATAATCAGAAAACAAACAAACAAAAAGACTACAGACCAATATTCTTGATGAACATTGATGCTACAATACTTAACAAAATACTTCCTAACCACATTCAACAACATATCAAAAAGATAATCCAGCATGATCAAATGGGTTTCATACCAGGGATGCAGGGATGGTTTAACATATGCAAGTCAATAAATGTGATACACCACATAAACAGAATTAAAAACAAAAACCACACAATCATCTCAATAGATGTAGAAAAACCATTCAACAAAATCCAGCCTCTCTTTATGATTAAAACTCCCAGCAAAATCGGCATGCAAGGGACATATCTTAATGTCATAAAAGCCATCTATGACAACCTCATAGCCAACATAATACTGAATGGGGAAAAGCTGGAAGCATTCTCTCTGAGAACTGGAACAAGACAAGGATGCCCACTATCCCCACTCCTCTTCAACACAGTACTAGAGGTCCTAGCCAGAGTAATCAGAAAAGTGAAAGAAATAAAAGGGCATCCAGATCAGTAAGGAGGAAGTCAAACTGTCACTGCTTGATGATATGATTGTTTACCTTAAAAAACCTAAGAACGCTTCTAGAAAGCTCCTGGAACTGATAAAATAATTTGGCAAAGTTTCCAGAAACAAGGTTAACATACATAAATCGGTAGCTCTTCTATACACCAACAGTGACCAAGTGGAGAATCAAATCAAGAACTCAATCCTTTTTATAATAGCTGCAAAATAAAAATAAATAAAATACTTAGGAGTACACTTCACAAAGGAGTTGGAAGACACTACAAGGAAAGCTACAACACACTGCTGAAATAAATCATAGCCAACACAAACAAATGAAAACTTATCCCATGCTCATGCATGGGTTTGACTCAATATCATGAAAATGACCACACTGCCTAAGACAATCTACAAGTTCAACACAAATCTCCCACAAAATACCACCATCATTCTTTACAGACTTAGAAAAAAAAAATTCTAAAATTCACATGGAACCAAAAAAGATCCTGCATAGCCAAAGCAAGACTAAGCAAAAAGAACATATCTGGAGTCATCCCACTACTTGATTTCAAACTATACTATAAGGCTATAGTCACCAAAACAGCATGGTACTTGTGTAAAAATAGGCACATAGACCAGTGGAACAAAATAGAGGACCCAGAAATAAACCCAACTTATAGCCAACTGATGTTTGACAAACATAGAGTGTGGAAAACTTAAAGTGGGGAAACAAAGTGGGGAAAGGACACTCTACTCAACAAATGGTGCTGGGATAATTGGCAAGCCACATGTAGAAGAATGAAACTGGATCCTTATCTGTCACTCTATACAAAAATCAATGCATGATGTATCAAGGACTTAAATCTAAGACCTGAAACCATAAAGATTCTACAAGATAACATTGGAAAACCCCTTCTAGATATTGGCTTAGGCAAAGACTTCATGACCAAGAACCCAAAAGCAAATGCAGTAAAAGCAAAGATAAATAGCTGGGACCTAATTAAACTGAAGAACTTTTGCATGGCAAAAGGAACAGTTAGCAGAGTAAACAGACAACCCACAGAGTGGGAGAAAATCTTTGCAATCTATACATCTGACAAAGGAATAATATCCAAAATCTACAGTGAACTCAAATCAGTAAGAAGAAAACAAACAATCCTATCAAAAAGTGGGCTAAGCAGAGACCTGGAACCAACCCAAATGCCCATCAATGATAGACTGGACAAAGAAAATGTGGTACATATACACCATGGAATACTACACAGCCAAAAAAAAAAAACAATGAGTTTGTGTCCTTTGTAGGGACTTGGATGAATCTGGAAACCATCATTTTCAGCAAACTGACACAAGAACAGAAAATCAAACACCATATGTTCTCACTCACAGGCGTTGAACAATGAGAATACGTGGACTCAGGGAGAGGAGCACCACACACTGGGGGCAGTTGGGGGTGGGTAGGGGAGAGACAGCAGTGGGTGGGGAGGGAGGGGAGGGTGAGGGGGGATAACATGGGGAGAAATGCCATGTAACGCATGTAGTATGCACCTAAAGTAAAATAAATAAATTTAAAAAAATAAAAAAACAAATGGGCTAAGGACATGAAAAGACAATTCCCCAAAAAAGACACACAAATGACCAGCAACATGTGAAAAAAATGCTCAGCATCACTAATGATCAGGTAAATGCAAATCCAAATCACAATGCAATACCACCTTACTCCTGCAGGAATGGTCATAATAAAAAAATTAAAATGCTGTACTGTAGATACTGGTGTGGATGTGGCGAAGAGGGAACACTTCTGCACTGCTGTTGGGATTGTACATTAGTACAGATGCTATGGAAAACACTGTGGAGATTTCTTAACTAAAAATAGAACTTCTTTTTGATTCAGTAATACCACCATGGGTATCTGCCCAGAGGAAAATAAATCATGATTCAAAAAAGATACTTGCACATGCATGTTCATAGTGGCACAATTTATAATAGCAAATTCATAGAACCAACTCAAATTCTCATCAATGAATGAGTGGACAATGAAACTGTGCCCATATATGTGTGTGTGTGTGTGTGTGTGTGTGTGTGTGTGTATGACGGAATAAATGGAATGAATTAATGAATTAACAGCATTTGCAGTGACCTGGATGAGATTGAAAACTGTTATAATAAGTGAAGTAACTCAGGAGTTGAAAATCAAACATCATATATTCTCATTCATGTGTGGGAGCTCAGCCATGCAGACGCAAATGCATAAGAATGATACAGTGGACTTTGGGAACTTGGGAAGAAGAGTGGGAGGGGCCAAGGGATAAATGACTACATGTAAAAGTGGTGCAGTGTGTGCTTCTTGGGTGATGGGTGCACCAGAATCTCACAAATCACCACTAAAAAGCTTACTCATGTAACCAAATGCCACTTGTACCCCAATAACCTATGGAAAAAATAAATTAGTTAATTTAAAAATATGAATGAGAATGGTCATAATATGTAGCCAGCTGAAGTCCCAAATAACCTGGGATGTCTTAATGTTTGAGAATCTCATTCCATTTCTTATTAACCTCCTGGAGCAGAGAAAATTACATATATCTTATCAGAGTATATCAAGAATTTTGACTGGTGTTTTAAACTGTGGTGACTGCCCTAGTGGCTTTTAATTAGTCATACTGTATCCACCATTTAGGAAGTTTATTTTTGCTCTTGAGAGATTTTTAGAAATAAGCAAGAGAAAAGAGCTGACTCATTCACAGACACGTATAAGCAAACCAAAATCCTACCAAGATAAGACTGTTCACAAAAATGTTTAAGCCAGGCATGCAGATCAAACAAAATATTAAATTAGACACACAGAATTAATAATGAATTTGACAGAAAAGATAAGCCTCAAAGATATAGCTTGTATAGAAATCAGGGTTCTCAAACCTGGACACTTGACTTTATGCAAGAATAGACTTGCCAAAAAAGGCAAGAAGTCCTTTGTTACCTCAGGAGGATTGTAAGGTTCTTTATTAAGGCAGCCTTATCCAAATTAGATTCTGACTAAAGGAAGAATTTCAACCAAAGAATGGAAGGCTCAACGTGACAGAAGACTCACCAAGGCCGAAAGGCAGGCTGTGGAAACAGAGTTCAAAGGGCTTCAGTGAATACTGTACGCTGATTCCAAGAATTGTCAATTCCTTCTGAAGGTGACCTTACATAATATCCCACTTCTGACACCATTTTGGTAACCTACGTAACAAACATAGAGACGACGTCTAAAAGAAATGACATTTATTCAGAAATAAATAGGGAATTGCAATGGGAAAACTCATGCCATAGTATACTATGTGTATAGTCAGGAAGGTAAAAGAAGACAAAGGTTTTTAATGAGAATTATGTAATTGTTTTGAGATAATTATCTTTGGTGGCACCAACCCAGTTTTGGATAGACATCTGGGCAGATGTCCTCAGAGGAGGATTGTTTGTGTAAGGTTGTGTTGACCTTTGTGCAAGACTGTGGTTTTTACCAAGTCCTTTGTAACAGTTTTTGTTATAAGGCATTCAAGCCTGAAAACCCTCCCTCTTGGCCTTTCCTTGCTTTTATGGGGGCCATTATTCCATCCACCACACATACCTGAACTAAAACCAAACCAAAGGAAAAAAACATTCACCAAAATAGTTAGGACTGAGTAAAGGGAAAAATAAAAAACCAGAATATTCACATTTTGGTGAATTCTTTATTAAAATCAGGGAGACTAAGAAATGTTTGTTTTTACACATTAATAGTTATCAGTTTTACTGTTTTAATTTTAATACTCAGATTTAAATGTTTTCAATAATAATCTGTAATGTAAGTACGTCTACGTGAAGGTACAACAATCTGTACTGAAATAAAACTCTGTCAATTAGGCTCCCAGTTTTACAAAACTCTACAGGAAAAACTTTCACACACCCAAGGCAAAGTATCCAAGGTAAAATACATCTGTTCTCATACATCCAAAAATAGAGTACAACTACCATATTTTATTGATTAGCATTTGAATTTTGGCAACGCATGGGCTTTAGAAAACCAACTTTATTCCCAGTGAAATATGTTACATTGCTCCTAAAACTTAAGAGTAATACTGGTTACTAGAAATAAACTCTGTGTGGTGTGCACAGTTAACTGGTCTTGCAGGGAATCCTTTATATTTCTGTAGCTTTCAAAATAAATTAGCCTCCTTTCAGGTCTTCATATTTAAGCCCTTTTTTGTTCCCAGAAGGAGCAGCAGTGCTCCTATTAAGGTCCTGATTGACTGAAACAATTCAAAGGTCCCTAAGAATTAAGTGGCCATTGACTCTGAAGCAGCCTGTCATCAAAACCAGATGGGAACCAGCTAGGAGTTATTCTGGATTTTACGTTCTCTCCTCTCCTCTCCAGTAAAATATGTCAATATTCTACCTCCAAAACCGACTGAGATTTTGAGTTCATCTAATTTTCTCCATTTCCCCTTTCACTTTCCTTGCGAAAGTTGTCATTCCTATTGCAAACTAGTGCAATAACCTCTTACTGGTCACCTTTCTTCCATTTTTGCTTTTTTAATATCCGTATTTTACGGAGCCTAAAACGATCTTTTTAAAAAGCAAATCAAATGAAAAACCGTAAGTTTCTTAGAAGATATTAAAATAGGAAATCTAGATAACCTTGGGTATGACAATGACTTTTTAGATACAGTACCAAAGACACAATTCATGGAAGAAATAATTATAATAATAGATTTTGTTAAAATTACAAACTTCTCTGTGAAGATACCATCAACAAATTGAGAAAAGAAGCCACAGACTGGGAGAAAATATTTGTAAAAGACATATTTGATAAAAGAGTGTGATGAAAATATACGCAGAACCCCTCAAACTCAATAATAAAAAATCCAATTAAAAATGAGCTAAAGTCCTGTGTTAAAACACGGCTAAACCTGAATTAAAACGAAAACACCTCATCAAAGAAGAAATAAAAATGGGATAGCAGCATATGGAAAGATGCCCAACATCATATATTATTAGGGAACTGCAAATTAAAACAATTGAGATACCACTACATACCTATTAGGAAGGCCAAAATTCTAAACACGATACCAAATGCTGGAAAGATGTGGATTGCTCTGGACTAAATGTTTGTGTTCCTTCCCAAATTCGTATGTTGTAATCCTAATCTCCGAAGTGACTGTATTGTGCAGTAGGGCCTTTGGGAGAGCTCTTGCCTACAGCCTAGTGTTGGAATGATGCCCTGATGATGGGATTAACGCCCTTAAAAGAAGAAACACAAGAGAACTTGCTTTCTCTTTCTCTCTTCACCATGTAAGCATACAAAAAGAAGACAGTTGTCTGTAACCAGAGAAGAGGGTTTGTAGAAAGAACCCAATCTTGCTGTCACATTGATCTCAGACTTTCAGCTTCCAGAACTTTAAGAAATAAATGGCTGTTGTTAAAGCCACCCAGAATATGGTATTCTGTTAGAGCAGCCCACACGCACTAAGACAGGAAATAGAAAAAAACCAACTCTCATTTATTGCTGGTGGGAATGTAAAACAGTGCAGCCACTTTGGAAGGCAGTTTGGCAGTTTCTTACAAAACTAAACAATCTTACCATATGATCAAGCAATCATGCTCCTTGATAGTTACCCAAAGGAGTTGAAAACTTACGTCCATATAAAAACCTCCACGTGGATATTCATAGCAGCTTTATCCATAATGGCCAAAACTTGGAAGCAACACAGACATCTCTCAGTAGGTGAACGGATAAATAAACTGTGGTACATGCAGGCAATGTAATATTATTTGGCACTAAAAATTAATTATCATGCTATGAAAAGGTAGCGGAAAGTTAAATGCACATTACTCAGTGAAAGAAGCCAATTTGAAAAGGCTACATAGTATATGATTCCAGCCCGAAGACATTGTAAAACAGACAAAACTATGGAGGCAATAAAAAGATCAGTGGTTGCCAAGAGTTAGGGAAGAAGGAGGTATGAATTGGTAGAGTACAGAAAATTTTTGGGTCAGTGAAACTATTCTGTATGGTAATTAATTATGGATATGTCATTATACATATGCCCAAATCCAGTGAGTAAACATCAAGAGTAAATCCTGATGTAAACTATGGACTGTAAGTGATAAGGATTTGTCCATGTAGATTTATCCATTGGAAAAACTGTAGCATTCTGTTGAGGGATATTGATAGTGAGAGAGGTTGTCTCTATGTGGAACATGGAGTGTTTGGGAATTCTGTATTTTTCGCTCAATTTTTCTGTGAACGTAAAACTGCTCCAAAAATAGTCTATTCTCTTTAAAAGCAGCAACTTTTAAAAATATTATAAAGTATAAATAAAATAATAGAGTAAAATAACAAAATTGAAATTGTAAGGCCCAGTGCTGAGCCAGCACTTGCATGAAGCTGAAAGCAGAGGCTGCGAGTATTTTGTGCCTTGGGAGCTCACTTGCCTCACCTGTCTGGTCCTGAAGTGGAAACCAGATCTTTCCTAGCAATCTCCAGTGCCACAGAAAACTGCAAAGAGACTCACATGGTGTGGACTGCCCAAGTTCTCGAAGTCTTGGAAAACTTTGGTAGTGGTGATAACGACAATGACTACAAGCCTCAGGAGAAGGCATTCCTCCCAAAGAATAGATAAGAACCTCAAAGATTAATTGGAGAAAGATATTTGTTAGTTATACTGCTAATCCAAAAACTCTCCTGGGAATACCGTGACCTTGAGGCTAAAGATGAAGATTTTATGTCAAGAGTCATGTCTGTTCTGGGCCTTATTATGGTTTATTCATGTCATTGAGCTCTTGCCTACAGCCTAGTGTTGGAATATCTCAGACCCCAATCTGGCTACCAAGACTTCCAGACTTGGAAATTATTATTATTAATAATTATTATTATTTTAAAAACAGAATTCCACTGTAGGTATTTTAATTTTCCAGTCAGAGCCAGGCTAAAAAAAATAATAATAATTTCCTTTTACATTCATTTTAGTTCTAGGATCCTCCGGTGTGACTATCTTTACCTTTAGAGTGACACAACAATGAGTAATTTTTAAAACTATCTATAAAAAGGGGCACGCCAAAGAGAATCCTACTTTTTGAAAAGATACCATCACTGTTACTAGTATTCTAATAATACACAGCACTCTAAAATACTGGTAATTCAGATATTCTCTAAAGCAGCAGTTTAATAAATTGAATCAATTTGGTTCTTCAAAATGTGTTTTTTAAATGAAGATCTTACTCCTGTTAGTTAATAGGAAAAGCAACCATGACTCTCCTTTTATTTTTTTACTTCTGCATGAGCAGTTTCCATGTTTCATTTATCACCAGAGCATAGCGCAGTGTAGCCAGATCACACTTTGGAACTAAAAAGCTGGAAAAATGCATGTGGAAAATTCAAGGCAAATTATAGTGTGATTATTTTGTTAGGCTCATTTGGTTGCAGAGAATGAGTCTGCATGCCACCTGATGTAATGAGGGCGTATTATGGAATATATGGGTGTGTATATATATATTTTGTATGTATATATATATTTTATATGTATATACACACACACACACACACATAATTTCAAGAACTTGAACAGCTAGGCCATATCTTTTTAATGGAGATTGGAACCAAAATGTGCTTTAGAATTCAAGACAGTCCCAGAGAACAGAGCCTCTGGAATTAATAAATATTTATTCCAATTGCCTGCCATTAGAGCAACCAGGCTATGCTCTGTGAGTCAGCTTCTGTCAGTCTCTTAAATTCCCTCCCAAATGGTCTCTTACCCTCCACTCCCAGAGTCACAAATTGGCAGACTTACACAGAATAAGCCTGGGAGACAATGCTTTGTTAAGACAGTACATGTTTGGCTTTTTCTTTTTCAAGCCTGAATTTGAATGTCTTTAAAGCAGTATTTTCATTTTCCAGTTTGCCACAAGCTGTCCGCAGCTGCTACTCAGTTGAGGGCTAGGGAGTCTCATTTAGGAGGAGTTTGAGAAGAACATTTGCAGGATAGGTCCACTGCGCCCCGTCCTAGTGGGAAGAACACGTGTGGATGCCCACTGACACACAGTAGCAGTGCATGCCTGGGCTAGCTGCTTTGCTTTTTTAATATGCCTGTTTCATTTCATATAAAATTATATAATTTAAATACTACTTATCTTGGGATGGTTAATTTTATGTGTTAAGTTGATTGAGCTAAGGAACACTCAGCTAGCTGGTAATATATTGTGTC